TTAAAACGGCTCGTATATAGGGCACCAACTTTATCCTACAAAACGACGATATCGCCAACGCGCGCCACCACCAAAGACCGCACACACATTTATTAGATAAAGCAAAAAGAAACTGCGGCCAACACTTTCTTCCCTTGGCTCTCTCCTCCCTCTCTGGACGCATGTATGAGAGTGTGTGTGTGTGTGTGTGATGTCGCCGCTTGCCTCTGCCAGCCTCGACCGCGTTTTTTCCCTATCTTTTTCCCCCTCGTGTCTTTGGTCGCATAGACGAAATAAAATCCACAGCCGGAGGCAGCGAGCCCGATGAAACAGTTTTGATTTTGTGGGAAGCACATGCGATATCTTGGTAGCGGATCGAGGAAGGAGGAAGCCGCACACAGCAACAAATTACTTTAGTTACATTTCATAAGACAGTTACAATTTCAGTTTAAAAACAAAAGTGATTCACAATCCGAAAAAAGTTTGTAAACAAATTTTGGGGGGCAAAATATTGAATTTCGTACAAATCATTTTAAGTTTTCGTTGCAGTGTGAGTCGCGCGTCGTGTGCGGCAATATTACTCTCAGTTTGGACCAGCAATGAATAACTTTAGACAAGTTCCAGCGGTGTTTGATTCCCCTCTGCTCTGTGAGATGGTCATTCTTTCATTCGTTGGGACAAGTTACTGCCCTCCCCCGATCTCATCCCACCCCCTCTGCCGACGTCGCGTCAAAACAGACCACAAGAGAGAGCAAAGCCCCATCACCAAATTGATTTAACATTTTTTTCCTCCTCTTGTCCGACCAACTTTGATATCGTCGAATGCTCGTGGCTTTCCTCAAATCGAGTTAGGCCCCTCACACTTCTTCTCCAACCACCGCCGCCCCTCCGAGTTAGAGATATTGCGGACCGCCATTTCTTCGCCAACAAATACGAACAAGATCGAGCCAGTCGGTGGCCACTGTGCCAGCAGTTTTTTTGTTTTCCGAAAAAAAAAAGACACTAAAAAAAGAAACAATGTATCTCTCTAGAGCGAAGGTAAAAGTATGATTTTGTCGCCACTTTTCGTTTCACAAAAGTTCTTAGTCGATCTGACGGAGTAAATTCAAGTTCTATCTAGTTCGCTTAGGATTTTTGGGTCTGGTTGGCTTTGAGGGCGGAAGGCGGGACGGGCGTGCGGCTTGTTCCGTCCACAAACGATCAGTCTGCCGCCCGACGACACGCCGTGATGGCTGAGTCCTGATTGATTGGCCGGGAGTGTCTCCTTCGCCACACCACCCCATTCCTCCCCCTGTAGCCGATGACCCAGACGCGTACGACGCTCGGTCAACAAAACTATATCCGTTTCATTTTATCTCGTGTCGTAGTGCATCAAGGTCCCCTCATGTCGGGTACTTCCTTCCTCACGGCTCGAACGACGCGGAACACTTTGCGGAGATTGGTGTGTACCAGCGTGTGTGGGTGTGTGTGTGTGTGTCGGCGCAAGTGTAAGAAGACGACATTGTCGCCCACGAACCAGACGTCCGATAACGACCTTGCTCACTCCTTCGCTTAGACCCTTTCCCGTGACTCTGTGGCGTTTTCATGTGTGTCTGCGCACGCACTATATAATGCTACACATTATTTACCCCCTGACAGGCATTCCCAAAAAATCGTTTCCTCGAATCACATAATTTTTTGGCCAAAATTAAAGTCGAGGAACAATTTTCCTTAATTCAAAGAAAATTCTTTATCACATAGAGTTGAAAATGCCACCAGCATTATGAGATGAAGATGAAGATATAAGGTCTTGCAATTTTTGTTTCAAAATTGAATCAAATTTCTTCTGCTTAACGAAATGATGTCCTTGGTGCAGCTAACGTGGTCGTCACGATGTTGATGAGCCAAACCGCATCGATAGCTCGATGGCCGCGGCCCCGAGCACGGATTAATGGAAATAGCGGCTGTATAATTAGTGTCATCGTGGTGCTGGCGCTGGGCGGCCCTCCTCGCCCCCATCAATGGGCTTACCCGTGCGCTACAACAACAGGATGTGCATTAATTACGTCATCAGCGCAGCCAGCGGGGCGATGTGTGCGTGGGCGATGGAGTGAATCATTGAACACCGCGAGCGACACCAACGTTTCCTTTCGCTAAATCTACCCCTCCTATAACATGCTCAAAGGGCGGGTCATTTCCTTCCTAAGACGATCTTTCCGTCCTTCCTTCTCGACCCCTTCCTGAAACTGACCACAGCCCCTTCATTGCTGCTGACGACGGGGGCGCGGTCGGTCGGCCCGTCGGTCGATAGAGCAGGCGGTGGCGGCGCGTAGTATGGGCGGGGCCGAGAGGAGGGGTGTTTGGGGTCGCGATAGGGCGGCACATAAATGAGCAATTAGCCGATAAGTGACAATCGTGTCACGATGATACAATGCACACACATGTCGGCAAAGGGGGCGCGTGCGCAGCGCCAAAGGGCGGCACGCACGCGCGCACGCACGCCACGGCAAACACGCCATAATGGACCCCCCCCCTCCCCCTCCTCACCCCCAATCGGCTTGTGTGACGTGGACACGCGGCGGTCTTATCATACGAGGGCGTATAAACAAGTGATTCAGCCGCGTTCGAATAATTGGGTGTACTTCTGTACCGCGGGGTTGTAATACCACACGTAACTTTTTCACGCTACGGTTATCGAATTTTATGCAGTATCTATAGTTTTTAAAACAATTAGATGGACCCCGCTTGTAAGAAAAATGAAAACAATATAAGGGTGAAAAAGCATATAGTGCCGCAAACGTTTCGACAGCAGGAGCCGGGCGACGGAAACCCGTGCAAAATTCTGTATAATGAGGCCTTGGACCACCACCACCCCCTGGATCCGAGCCTCCCCCTTCCCAACCCCGCGCCACCGCTGCGGTCCCGGAGGGAGGTTAGTAAGCGGGCGATATTAATTACGCACCCCGCCCCCGAAAAGTGTCGCGCCGTCCTTGTCGCACTCATTGCCTCAACAAAGTGTCTTACCAACAT